TGAGGTCAACAACGAAGCAATAATTAATGTTCACAATGTTGTACGGCCACCACTCCTACGTAGTTCCAAGACATTTTCATCATCCCAGAAGGAAGCCCCATATCCACTAAGCAGCTATTCCCCGTTCCTTCCTCTCTCCAGCCCCTGGCAAACACCCACCTGTGTTCTGTCACTATGCATTCACCTAATGCCTACAGTTGCTATGAATGGACTCTGATGATATGTGACCTTTTATGTTTGGCTTCTCTCACTTAGCACACTCTTCTTGAGGGTTCCACCTCCACTTTGAGGGAGCCTGGAAAGGGGAGAGGGAAGGATAAGAGGCTAGGAAAGTCGGTAGTGGAAGACATGAGGTGGGCCAGGGCAGGGGGCTCCCCAAACTTCAGGATGTGTTCAACCACAGAGGTGTTTCAGTGGAGATTCTGATTTAAAGGACCCAGAAATTGGCCCAGGGGCTCCTGGTGTGGCCTGTGGGTGAGTTCACCCTGTAACAGATGCTGATGTCAATCCTGGAGGTCTTGAGGAGGGTAAAAGAATTGATAAAATAGGAGTTAGAAATGAGGAGGGCTGAAAGGCCAGAGGCCATCATCACACAGTAGGATTTTTGAAGCTGGGGAGTCCTTGAACCCCCTGAGCTCATTCCCACCTTCAGGCCTGCATGGTAGCCTCGCACAATGCTCTCCAGATCTATAGCTGTGAGTGTTCTAGAACCCACAATAAATAGGTAAAAGGGAACAGGCAAGATTAATTTTAATAATATGGTGTATTTAACTCAACAAAGCCAAAATATTATCATTCCACATATAATTATTATGAGACGATTGAGACATTTTCATTTTTTCTAAGTCTGAAAAATTCAGCATGTGTTTCACACCTGCATCACACTTCAGTTTGGACCAACTGTATTTCATGTGTGCAATGGCCACACGTGCCTTGTGACCTCCTTATTCATCAGCACAGGCTAGAATGTCCCTGCATGGCTGACTCCATCTCCTTGAGATTACTGCCCAGAGACCCCTTTCCTGGCCATGTGGTCTCAACCAGCCACCTTCTGCTCCTAGCCCTGAATTTTTGTGTGTGTTGAGACTTACCACTGTTTGAGATTTTATTATTTGTTTGCGTATTATCTGCCTCCCTGTGGGATATAAATCCCATGAGGGCAAAGACCTGTCTGTCTGCTTTCATACGGTATCCCCAGCAACTACATCACAACCACCATAGACTCACAACAAATGTTTATTGGATGACTTCGAGGATCCTCTAGATTAGTCATTTGTTATCTCCAAAGCCAACAGGCATTCCATGAGGTGTTGGGGGAGGAAGCCCGAGAGGGAGGACCATGATGTAAGAAATAAGGTGGGAGAGAGCGGGCCTGAATGCTTTCTGTGAGCTCAAAGGCTGACTCTCGGATGTCAGGTCTGAGGCCAGGTTTCTTGCCTGTTGTGACTTGGCTGTGAATTGATTCAACCACTGCCTTACCCGGTTGGAAGAGAAACCAGCCCACGAAACGGCACTTCTGCCTGGCACCGGTAGATGGGGCAGCATCACACACAAAAAGCCCAGTCCAAGGTCTGATGCAGTTGCAGACCTGTTTCCCAACTGCCTTGGCTCCTGTTCTGATCTGGAACTGCCCTGTGTCTCAGGTCCATGGTGTGGGCTCATAGATGGTGCTACCAGTTTTCCCGGCTGAAGAAACTCCGCCAGCCAGCCCAGGCTCAGGCCCAGATCCAGGCCCTGGGCCCAGGCTAGCAAGAGACAGCCTGGCCCTCCTCCTCCTGGGTCTGTGAGCCCCAGCACAGACTGTGACTCACACCTCAGACTGTTCACGTTTACCTAGAACCTCTCTGCCCTCCCAGGGTTGAAAACAAACTTATTGAGAAGGCAGCCCAGGCGTGGCAGAGACCAGCCCAGAGGAGCAGCTCTGTGGGCCTCTGCCCCCAGAACTGACGTCCTTGGTGCCTCAGAGAAGTCAGGCCAGCCAGTGGAACCCTCCCTGCCTTGTAGTCCCCAGCGCTTCCTGCTACCACCTGATGCCAAAGGGGTGCCCTTGTGGAAGCTGAGACAAGCCTTAGCTCCCACCACTGGCCTTTCCTTGTCTTCCCCAAGCCCTTCTGACCCTGGACCTCTGAGCAACTTGGAAATGGTACCCGAACATGACATCTACTTGTAGAGTTTAGACTTCGAGATTATGCCCAGCTAAGGGTCACTTAACACAGGTGAATCTGGTGTGCTTTTTTACCAGACTTTTCGGTTTGGAGCCCATGCAGTCTACCCGATTGCCTTTGCAAGATTTTCCAGGAATTCAAGCGGAAGAGGAATTCACCTTGACTTAAGTGGCTTATTATTGTCCTAACTAGTTCATTCCAGCACCAGGTCTGGTGTCCCTCCATTAGTCCATTAGTGCAGCTGGGAAGTAAGGCATCACACCCTGGGGCAAGATTTAGCCATGAAAAGGCTGTTCCTTCCCTCAGAGACTAGGAGGGCCTGAAAAGCACCACCGGGAAACTTTCTTCTCTCCTTGTTATAATCATTAAATTCCACCCTCATCTGCATGTGTGCCTGCATTTTCACGTTCTAGAATTCTGCTGTCCTCTATATCCAGAAAGCCCTTTAATTCTTTCCTGCTTGGAGAAAGCCTGCTCATTCCTCACACATCACCTTCCGCAGAGCCTGTTCCGATTTTCCTACTCAAAACGAACTTTCTCTTCTTCCCACTTCTCATAGTATATTGGGTCTTTCTCAGGGCACATAGCCTGCTCTGTCTTCCTGTTCACACGCACATCTCATTTATTAATTTCAGCAATCAAGTAGTGCCTATTTGTGTACCAGGCACTAGAGGACACAGGGTGCTCTCCTAGATTCAGTGGAAGCCTGAGCTGGGTGCAGTTTGCATCCTTTGTTGGACTGGGAGCTCCTTGGAGACAGGAACTGGGTCTGCTCCTAGCTCAGGGCCTGGCACCAAAAAGTACTCAGGAAAGTTACGTTGAAACTCAGCACCAATGAGGCTGAGAAAATTGGGTTAGAATTTTAAGAAAGGTTATTTAAATTTAAAAGAAAGGCTAAAAGTTGGCAAAGGTAGGGCTCCAGAGAATTTCCAGGAGGGGCTGCAGGGGTTCTGAAATCAGTGGTTTTGGCATGGAAGCCAAAGATATCTAAGATCGTCAGGGGATGAGGCTGATGGGGTAAGGGGTTCCATTGTCCTCCTCTGGGACAAACTTGGCAGTTTGATGTAGGATCATCTGGACATTTATCCCACACTCCAGCTGAAGTCTTTTTGCTTTCACTGAGCAGACCACCGAGGCAAGCTTGTTGTTTGAGGATCCCAGAAATGAGTTACCAGCCAAGGGTCAACCTGGTCAGAGGACTGAGGCTATGCTGTTCAGGCAGCCCAGGAGAAAAGGATAATAATGTGATCGTCATTCCTAGTGGATGGTGGCTGAACATTATTAGTGAAATAAAAAACGTCATTTGGATTTTTTACTAGGAATTCTCACCCAAAATGTGTCAATGATGTAATAAAACGGAATGACTGGCCTGCCAAAACAAAATGAGTTCTAACCACACATAAGCATTACTTAGGAATGGTATAGGTCTCCGAAAACTAGTCTTCTTTGAGGCCTGAGAGCAGGAAGGGCCACTGCTAGGGACTAGGGACAGAAACACTTTATTTATGGACTCTGTACAATATTGTTCACCCCTATCAGGGCGTTACGCTCATCTCACTTCTCACTATCTGCTTGTCTGTGGAGAAAGGGCTCCAAGACCCTAAAAGATAAGTCTCGCTGTTTTCCTTGATTCCGGCTTTCCTTGCTTCCTTTAATGAAAAATAAATTGTGAAAAAATACATTATTAAACAACACCAGTCATTCTCAGAGAGCTGTCACACAAGGAAAGAACCACTCTTTCCCCAACCTCTTTACACAGTAAATTAGTCTAAATCCCATCTTCCACCACTTCCCCCAGAAGTTTCGATGTAGACACACATTTATTTAGTGAGTTGCAATTCAGCCCGAGGGTGGAGTGTCAGAATTCAAGTCGCCTCTCCCGAGTGGGTAACCCCGGGTCTTAGCGATACCTGTAGATAAATGAGATGCTGGTAAATTTGAGATGTAATTGCGGGATTGGACCGGTTTCCCCCTTCCTACGACAAATGGCTGCAACTAGGTCCCTTTAAGAGACCAGGAACCCGCCGGGCGTCCGGGCCCGAAACGCATCCTCTTCTGTGCACCTCCCCTGTCCCCGCGCGGCGAATGGTTCGCGCCGGCCTATATTTACCCGAGATCTTGCTCCGGGACCGCAAGGATGTGAGGCTGGCAAGCCGGCTACCGCTTGCAGTACCGGACAGGCGCGCCGCAAGGGCGGGCAGCAGACCTTGGGGACCTCGGGAGCGGAGTCGGACCCCCCCGGAGGGAAGAAATGAGGTAGCGACCGTCCCCGGAGCCGACCATGCGCGCGCCCCGCCCTCGGCGCCTCACGCTGCCCCGGCGGAGCCAGCCGGGACAGTGAGCCCGCCGAGCCCGAGTCCCCGCGTCCGGCCGGAGCGAAGATGCAGTGAGCCACCGCCGGAGTGCTGCGCCGGGGCCGCCGCGGCCAGCCGGGGCAGCATCTGACCGCCCTCGGGGCAAGCCGCACATTCTGGGATCAGCCCCGCCGAGAGGCTCTCGGTTTCCAGCACCCCCTGGGGGCGGGAGCCCGGACCCCTGGGCACACTCGCTATCGAGTTTCCGCTCTTTCTAGTTCCAGCCCTGGGGAGTGTGTGTGTGTGTGTGTGTGTGTGTGAGCGAGCGCGGGGGCCCTTTCTAGGTTCGCCGAGGAGTTCCTGCATATTCTTGTCCGGTCCCGGCTGCTTTGGCTGGGGCTCCCTCTGTTTGCGCGCGCGCATCTCTTTTTAACGTTCCACTCTGATTTCGTCTTTCTCTCAATTTGCTTAGCTAAGACTCTTTGCTCTCGTCCTTGCCCTGGCTGGGGTAAATCTGTGCGCGTCCCCCCCCCACCCCCCCGCCCCCAACTCGCAGCTGACTATTTTCTTCTCTTTTTAAAATTTTAACCCGTACCCACTTCGGCGGGGTCCCTGAGGACGATACTCCCTAAGCCCCTATCTATCAGTGGGCCACTCCCAGCTGAGTTTTATTTTTCTGTCTTGCCCGGGCCGAGCCCGGCCAGGGCGGGTGGCTCAGCGGAGCTCGTACTCGGAGCTCCGCCGCCGCCGCCCAGCTGCGCGGGGACGCCCTCCGGAGATGCTGCCGTGGAAGAAACACAAGTTCGAGCTGCTGGCCGAGGCACCGCCACGGCAGGCGTCCAAGCCCAAGGGCTACGCGGTGAGCCTGCACTACTCGGCGCTCAGCTCGCTGGCGCGGGCGTGCCCCGAAGGCGCGCTCAGCCGGGTGGGCAGCATGTTCCGCTCCAAGCGCAAGAAACTGCACATCACCAGCGAGGACCCCACTTACACTGTGCTCTACCTGGGCAATGCCACCACCATCCAGGCGCGCGGCGACGGCTGCACTGACCTAGCGGTGGGCAAGATCTGGAGCAAGAGCGAGGCGGGTCGTCAGGGCACCAAGATGAAGCTGACTGTGAGCGCGCAGGGTATCCGCATGGTGCACGCTGAGGAGCGCGCGCTGCGCCGCCCGGGCCACCTCTACCTGCTGCACCGCGTTACCTATTGCGTGGCAGACGCGCGGCTGCCCAAGGTCTTCGCCTGGGTATATCGGCACGAGCTCAAGCACAAGGCGGTAATGCTGCGCTGCCACGCGGTGCTGGTGTCCAAGCCCGAGAAGGCTCAGGCTATGGCCCTGCTGCTGTACCAGACTTCGGCCAACGCGCTGGCGGAATTTAAACGGCTCAAGCGGAGGGACGATGCGCGTCACCAGCAGCAGGAGCTGGTGGGCGCGCACACCATCCCGCTAGTGCCTCTGCGCAAGCTGCTCCTGCACGGACCCTGCTGCTATAAGCCACCGGTGGAACGCAGCCGCAGCGCGCCTAAGCTGGGCTCCATCACCGAGGACTTGCTCGGTGAACAGCAGGAGCAGGAGCTGCAGGAGGAAGAGGAAGAGGAGCACACGGAGAGCTGCCTGGAGGAGGAGGAGGAGGAGGAGGAGGAGGAGGAGGAGGAGGCGGCGGCGGACGGTGCTGAGGAGGGGGACGCGGCAGCGGAAGAGGCCGAGGCGCAGCGAGCGCTGGTGGTGGCCATGCACTTGGAATGCGGGGACTTGCTGGACACGCTGGAAAGTGGCCGCGAGGAGGCACTAGGGGGCGGCGGGGTCTCCCTGGGCCCTGGGGCTGGGCCGCCGCCTCTGCTGCTGGGCAGCGCCACCGACATGAAGGCCGAGCTGTCTCAGCTTATTAACGACTTGGGAGAACTCAGCTTCGGCAACGACGTGCGCAGCCTGCAGGCCGACTTGCGGGTGACGCGCCTGTTGTCCGGCGAGAGTACCGGCAGCGAGAGCTCCATCGAAGGCGGGGGCCCGGACGCCACCTCCCCTGCTACCGCAGCGGACCGGTCGGGCCCTAACGAAGGCGCTAACCCAGAGGAGCCCCACTCGGGTTGAGATCTCAGCAGCCCCCTGTGCGCACCCCTCGCGCCCCACCATGACTCCTCACCTGTCTTTTGGACAACACCCATCTCCTCCGTCCCCCGCCCGCCCCCAGGAAAGGGGAAATGGGACACTTGAGGCCCAGAGTTGCCCCGGCCCTCTCCTTCAGCACACTTGGCTCTGTTTGAAGCGGGGCTCAGGTTGCGTGTGGAGATGTGCGAGGGGTCAGACTGCACGGAGGGAGAGAGAGACAGGGCTGGGGGCGTGGGGGTGGGGGGCGGGCGGATGGTGAGAAAAGGGCCCGCTGGTTAGCAAGGGATGCCTGCCCGCTGGCCAGTTTCCTGTTTGTGGGGCAGCTGGGGCCTGAGGAAGAGGGGTTAATTTCCTCCCCCGACCAGACCCAGTAACAGGGAGCGGCCTAGCGCTGTCATTGACATGTCATTAAAAAACATGTTTTTTTTTTTTTCTCTCTCTCGCAACGTTTGAGGCTGTAATGCCACCTCCTTGCCCCCAGTCTTTTTGGTGCGAGAGCTTGGGTTGTTTACCTCAGACTCAGACCCTTGAAATTCTGCCAAATTCCTCAAATAATTGTTTGGGGATGGTTGGGGGGGGGGAATGGAAGAAAGTTGCATTTTGTTTACAGTTAAAGACGTCTAATATCTTTAAAACAACAAAAAAGGAGTTTTCCTTTAAAAACACACACACCTTCCTCCTGCTCAAAAGATCTCCCTCCATGATACTGTGTAAAATATTTTGCACTGTTGTGAAGTATTTTTGACATTTTTTTTGTACATAACTGTGTTCTCAGAGCTAAATGTTTATATCTTTTGCTGTGCAAAAGGGACATGTAAAATGTTGTTCAGCTGTATATACGGAAATGGGTATAAAACATTTTGTTATTTTTTAAGAGTAGCACTGCTCTGGTTGTGTTTGCACGCCAGTGGGGAGAGAATAAAGAGGACAATGTCACAGAACAGGTGAGCGTCTGGAAGTGCTGCTGAAAATGCTGGGGGGCCTCGGGGCTGGAAGAGAGCCTGGCCATCGGTGCCATGGCGCGGTAGGAAGGGGTTTGGCCTTCGCGGTGCTTGGAGGTGATTCCAGAAGGGAAACCCGCTGTTTGTGTAGTCCAGGGCCTCTGTCGCTCTCCAGCAGGGTGGGCGCGGAGGCTGGGGCCAGCCCTTGCCTTCTCTTTGAGCCTCTCCTCCCATATTCTTCATGCAGTAAACTGCGGTGGTGTGGACCTTTTCTGGTCTCTCGGAGTTAATTCTTGGAGGTAGAAGGTGAGTTCTGTTCCTCACTCCCAGACTTGTGAGGTAATTTAGGAAGGAGTGACTTTCAAGGTCTTCTGAGGTTTTACCACCTTCTTCTGTGGGTCACCTTTTCCCTTACAAACAGCTCAAGGGGCTTTAAAGATTAACCGGAGACCTCAAGAAAGTGTCTTTGGGGCTCTGTGAGGAGTGGGGCCATCTCTGTTTTTCCTGGAGGAAAATCAAGAGAGAGGAAGGTTGGTAAGTTCTGATCATGGCGCGAATGAGTCATGGCGCAGGTGGGGCTGGTGGGGAGGCCGGCGGAAGAACCTATTTCCTTCCCTTCTACAACCCAGCGTGACCCAGTGGGGGAATAGTGTGGAGGTCAAGGCAGACAAGAACTGGTAGAGCTTGGGGTGTGTGTGTGTGTGTGTGTGTGTGTGTGTGTGTGTGTGTGTGTGTGTGTGTGTTTTCAGGCTTTCTGTGAGCTTGTTTCTGTTGTAAACTCCAAACAGATGTCTCTGGTTTGGCTATACCCGATCAGCCGGAAGTTGTAATGAGACGCTGCCAAAACTGTGCCTTCCTCAAATTATTTTCTTCCCTTTGCCCCTTTGGGCTCCATTTCCTGTGTTGCAGAAATGATCCCACTTCCATGCTGTCCTGAGGCTGCTCTGTTTTGTTTTCGTCGTAATTATGTTTTAGACAGCTAGACCCACAGATCCTGAGGAGTCTGGAATTTGTTAGAACCATAGAGGGGCGGTGAAAGATTGTCTTCCTAATTAACAGAGTTGGTTTGGGCATAAGATTAACTTGAGAAACGTGGGGTCTTGGGTGTCTCAGTTGGTTAAGCGACTGCCTTAGGCTCAGGTCAGGATCCTGGAGTCTCGGGATCGAGTCCAGCATCGGACTCCCAGCTCCACGGAGAGTCTGCTTCTCCCTCTGACCTTCTCCCCTCTCATGCTCTCTCTCACTTGCTCTCTCAAATGGATAAATAAGATCTTTAAAAATAAAGAAAAGATAACCTTGAGAAATGAAAAGCAATGTGTAAGTGGGTGGGAAATAACTAAAAAAAATACTCAGAATCACTTTTTAAGGGCATTAAGACAAGGTCTAGGCTTTTGAGTCTTATATTTTGGTTTGGTTGAGAGTCCCTACCCCTCTGCCCAAATACCTCAGATATACATCATTGCATGAGCTTTAAAACCCCCATGTAGAGAGAGGTTGGGAGAGTCCAGTCCTCCCTTCCCCAGATACTCACACCATGTGCTTTCCGTACAGTGCTCACCAGCCTAGCAGACAGCTGTGTGGCCCATCACTATCTTGCATGACTGGATTTCACATCTGAAATTATTTTCACACATTGCCAAGTTCCTCTGCTCTTTGAAACGGATAAGAACATTAAAGAGGGTGAAGATCACGTGGCTGGTACATGGTGGTGGGGCAGGGTCTATGTGTCTTCATTCTTTTTTTTTGTTTGTTTTAAGATTTATTTGAGAGAGAGTGTGTATATGTGTGTGTGAGAGAGAGAGAGAGTGGGGGGAGGGGCAGAAGGAGAGAGAATCTCAAGCAGACCCCACTGAGTACGGAGCCTGATGCAGGGCTCCATCTCACGCCCCTGAGATTATGACGTGAGCCGAAATCAAGAGTTAGGCACGTAACCAACTGAACCACCCAGGTGTCCCTGTGTGTTTTCATTCTTAACCAGTTAATGGTCTAATGCCAATGCCAAGGTTGGCTTTTATCTGTGACTGATGGGGGTAGGGCGATTGGTCAGAAAGTGCAGACAAATGACATTTAAACCAACACCATCAATAAATGGAAGGCAACTGTTTCTTTAAGTCTGATTTTTCCAGTTATTTGATTTATAAATAGGGAAGGGGGGGTCTAGGGGTTGAGGAAGGAGGAAGAAGAAAACAAGCAGCCTGCAAAAGAACCAGTTCCCTCCCTCCCTCCTGTTGCCCTCCCTTTCCCTCCTTCCTCCCCTCTGCCTTTTGGCTTTTATCCCCACTGCACCCATAGCACTCTGGCTGCTGTAATTCTAGAAGAGATCCGAAGGTGATACACAATTCACCTCTTCTTACATCTCAGTCTTCCAGGGCTGATATCACTAGCATAAGAAGAGAAGTCTGAATGAAAAAACAAAAAAGCAAAAGCGGAACACTGCTTTGCTCCTGACACTTGGACGGAAAAGAGTGGTGCCCAAAGCAAAACTAAGCCCTTAGATGAAACATGCCTTCCAGAGAGCACTGAGGTCTGCCTTACTCATCCCATCTAGCTTTACCTTCCTGTGAGCTGGGGTTCAGGTTCCTCCTCTGCGTAACCTGATGGTACTTTAAATGCTGCGAGACACTTTCCACATTCTCCCCCAGCCTAAGTAATCCTTTGTGTCCAACAACACACCACGGACTGCGTGAAAAACGAAGTGACTTCCGTGGCAAGAGAGGTCTTGTCGGGTGGCAGCGCGAGTCCCCGGAGGACGCATTTCTTTGACCGCAAAAACATCCTCCCCTATTCGTTTGTACCATGTGTGGTGTGCGTTGATGGGGAGCGAGGGAAAGGTGGGACAGCATGAAATAATTCTCTGTAGTATTACAGACCTTCTCAGCACTGAGAGTTGCAGAGAACACCCACTCCATGCACTTGCATGCTCGTGCCTAAAGCAAACCTCCCACCCACTGCCCCCAGAGTCAGCAGAACAGATTTTAAACAAATGAGAAAGGTTCTGTTAGACTGAGAAAGCACAATTCCCTCCCAGAGACAGAGCTGCTTTTCAAGGGCCCTGCTCTTGAAAGGAGAGGGAACGGGCTGGTAGAATCCACCCCTGGCACCACACTCGAGACAGAAAAAACCGCATGGGAGTCCACCAAGGATCACGAGAAACATACAAATTCTGTTAGGAGCCAGTTGCCCTCATTTTTAGCAGGATTTAGTAATTTAATAAGCAGAACACTTTCCTCCACATGGTATGCATCAGTGGTCCTCGCATCTGCTGGGAAGTGATGCACGACGGAGCGAGAAGTGTGTGTGCAATGGGCGCCTGGGAATCACGTGTGACATGCGGGAAACTACTCCAGGCTCGGGGAGGGCTGGGAGGCTACAGGTCAGGGCACTCTGGACCCCCAGTACCAGGTTTTCCTGCATATGGCCACATCTGGATCTGGCTTTATTGTCAGCTGGGGCCTTTTCTGCTCCTGCTGGCCCATCCCAGGCCACAGGCTGCCTGGGGCCACCCGCCCCCACCATGAGCCGCTGTGAGGTGATCCCATTTTGAGCAGCCCTGAAAAACCACCACGATGGTGGCTGGAATGGCTAGGTGGCCCTGGCACTTGGCACCCATTCCCTCCCCTCTCTAGGTCTGTTCAGTGGCACCAGCAAGGGTCATGTTTCTAACCCCCCCAGATGGTGGCCCTTCTGACAGCCCCCTCTTCTACATCTCCTCTTCAGCTCTGTCTCATCCCATTTCCTCCTGTAAGGCCTCGTTTCCCTCTGGCTTCTCTAATTGCCCAGCTTCCCACCTGATCCTGTCTTCATGTCTCCTCCTTCCTGCAAGCCTAGCTCAGACCTGAAACCAAACCTAAAAGAAAAGGCAGCCCAAACTTTAAAGGACAAACAAATCAAACACACAGTCATTAGTTGGCCCTGGTCCTGCAATCTCTGGGCTCTGTCCCTCATTTACAGATGAGCAAACTGAGCCCTAGAGGGGAGATGTTGTGTCCAAGGTTACACAGGAGGGACCAAGACCCAAGGGTCCAAACTCTGAAACCCATGCTCTTTTCACATTCCTCCCATTCTCATGGCTTATAACAAAATTTTTCACTTTGGGATGGCAGAAACTGGCAGTGGAATTTTTCTGTGATCCGCCCCCCCTTCTTTGATACCTCTACATTTCATGCCTGGTAGATGCTTGATGATAAATACTTGTCAAGTCATTCTTAAACATGCCATTCTTGCCACCAGGTGTGAATGAGTATCTGCTGGCTGCCTAATGTTGGAGGTGGAAAGGGCAGGTGGTGTCTTCCTGGCAAG